AAGTGGCATTTAAAAATTAAAAAGACTTTTCTCAGCAGAGCCAATTCTGAAGCATCCAGACCCAGAAAAGGCATTCAGAATCCAGGCTGATGTCACTGATGTAGCAGTAGCAGCGGTGTTACTCCATGGGAATGAACAGGAAAAATTGCAGCCCTGTGCTTACACCTCCAAAAAATTACCAGAGACTGAACATTGGGCAGTTTGGGAAAAGGAAGCTTATGCTGGGCCCTTCCATTTTCCTGAAGGGAATAAAATCCCTTTCCAAATATAGACTAATCACAAAAACCTAGAAGCTCTAAAGACACCTAGAAAGTTGTTCTCCAAAAAAGCACTGTGGGCTCAACACTTCCACAGGTTCAATTTTACGCTCCACTACTTGCTGGGGAAAAAAAAATCTCTTAGGACATGGGTTGGCAACCCACGGCTCTGGAGCCACATGTGGCTCTTTCAGCCTTCTCCTGTGGCTCCCAGTCCTCCTCTGCCATTTGCAGAGAGAGACAGAGAAATACTTGCGCTTCCTTTCTCTCTCCCTCTCCCTCTCTCTCTCTCCAATCTTCTGCTCACCTGGCCAGCTGGCCTCACACTGTTCTCCAACAAACTGACAAGCTTATTGGGCAGGCTCCCTGCCCTTGCTGCATCTCCGCAGGAAGCAGCAGAAAGCAGAAAGCAGCAGCTCTCTCTCTCACACACACACACACAAACACTTTTACTTAATTAGTGGGGGAAGAGGACTGGCAGACCAAGGGCAGGAGAGAGCCAGCCCAATAAAAATGTGTGTCAGCTTGTCGGAGAACAGCATGAGGTGAGCTGGCCAGGTGAGCAGAAGATCAGAAGGAGGGAAAGAGAGGGAGAGGAGAGAGACAGAGAGAGAGGGGGGGAGAAGAAAGAGAGGGAGAGAGAAAGAGAGGAAGAGGAAAGAGAGAGAGAAAGAGAGGGAGAGAAAAGAAAAAGAGAGAAAGAGAGAAAGAGAGAAAGAGAGGAAAGAGAGGGAGAGAGAGAGAGTGGGAGAGGAAAGAGAGAGAAAGAGAGAGAGAGAGAGAGAGGGAGAGGAAAGAGAGAGGGAGAGGAAAGAGAGAGAGGGAGGGAGAGAGAAAAGAGAGAGAGAGAGAGAGGGAGAGAGAGGGAGAGGAAAGAGCAAGAGAGAGAGAAAATATGAATATATGTTGTCCTTACTGGACTTTTAGTAAAGAACATTTAATGAACTATTTTGATTTTTTTTAATTAAGAGCTGAGGTATGGGGATAATTATGCTGTATTTAAAGATGGTAGATAAGCTACTAAAATTGTTTTCACCTATTTCTCTCGCATAAAAATTGTTTTCTTTGTAGCAGTTCAATGATTTCATACACACACACTATAGTTTTTTTATACATAGCATAAAGGTAAAAAAGAATATATGCAGTGTTATCTTCATTTTAGATGTCAAAAGGGTTTTGTGGCTCCCAATGTTTTCTTTTCTGTGAGAAATGGCTTCAAGTGGCTCTTTGAGTGTTTAAGGTTGCCAACCCCTGATCTAGGATACCACAATATAACAGCACCAAAGTGGAGGTATTCAAATCTCTATTACCAACCCAGCAATTGGCAGCACCAGTCATTATGATATCACAGAAGAGAACCTCCACCCAACTGTATGGCGTTGCCTCAACAGCATTGAAACAGGCTCTAGAGACAGATGAATGGTTCTTAGGGCACAAGAAGCTCTGCTCAAGGCAGGATAGACTGGCGTGGGTGAGAGGAAAACTATGTCCCAGCCGTGCAAAGGCTAAAAACTATGCAGGCCTCCACAATTCAAAACTGACAGGACACTTTGGGTTTGTGAAAACCCTTCATCTAGTAAAGAAACAGTTCTGGTGGCCCTCATTGAAAAAGGATATTGAAAGTTTGTGCAGCAGTGAAATGGAGGCAAGGAAAAATGTCTGGCCTTTTATAGCCGGTAGCGAGCCCTCAAGCACTTTGGAGAGAGATCTCTATGGATTTTATTGTGAAACTGCTAGACAGTGCAGAAAACACAGTTATTTGGGTTGTGACTGACTTATTCTCAAAACAGGCCCACTTTATCCCATGCCAGAAGATCCCAACCACCAGAACCTTAACTAAAATGTTCCTCCAAAATATCTACCAATTACATGGAGCCCCCCCCCAACACATAATTTCAGACCAACTTACTTCAAAGTTCTGGAAGGCCTTTTTGGACCTCTTAGGCACAGAATAGGGCTTGAGTTCTAGTCATCATCCTCAAACAAAGGGGGGCAGAACAACAAACTCAGTTCTAGAACAAACCTTAGATGTTTTATCAACTATTAACAGGACAATTGGACCGACCTCCTGCCATTTGCTGCAGTGGCATACAACAATACTATCCATTCTAGTACTGGATACACTCCCTTTCAAGTAGCTACAGGGCAGGTGTTTAAACCAATGCCAGAACTGCCTACTAATGAACCTGGAATCCCTTCTCTTAAGGAATGGATATATTAATTACAAAACACCTGGCTGATAGTAAGGAACGCTTTGAACAAAGCCAGGGACACCTACAGGCAGATAAAAAAAGAATAGAACCCAAACCTTTCCACATCAGGGACAGAGTTTACCTATCCACTAGATTCTTGTAGTCACTTCAACCTTCAAAGAAGCTGGGGCCCAGGTTTTTTTTTCTACATGAGGGCTTTTGCCATCAAAGGAAAACAAAATAGCAATGTTAGCCTTCCAAATCTGGGAAATACTTTCTAGTCAAAACTAACTACATATAGTCCTTGACTTACAAGCACAATGGAGCCCAACATTTCCATTGCTAAACAAGACAATTAAGTGATATTTTATTTTCCCTTTTTGCCACAGTTATTAATTGAATTACTACAGTTGTTAAGTGAATCTGGCTTCCCCCACTGACTTTGCTTGTCAGAAGCCAGCTGGGAAGGGTACAAATGGTGATCACATAACCCCATGATACCCCAACTATCATAAACACATACCGAGTTCCCAAGTGCCTGAATTTTGTTCACGTGACTATGAGGATGCTGCAACAATTGTTAAGTGTGAAAACCAGTCATAAGTCACTTTTTTCAGTGCTGCTGTAGGTTTGAATAGTCACTAAAACAAATGGTTGCAAGTCGAGAACTATCTATAGTTCTTTCTGCTCCTCCAGTGACATCACTGCATTATTACACATGTCCTTACTAAGCCTGGAGACCCTGACACTCCCCACAAAGAAAGAAGTTTTTTTCCCATAGTTGGAAGAAAATAGAAAAGATAAAGCATAGCTCTCCCATGGAACAATGCTGTTTGTCTCTGCTTTAATGCACGCTTTCTGAACCTGGGATTTATCAGGCCTCACTTCCTCAACAACTACTGCCCCAAAAAACTGAGCAGGAACAAGTTTACTTTCTATTGAGAAAAAGGACAGAACACCTGTGTGATTTCATCTTTGAAGATACAGATTCATTTTTACATAAAACTAAAAATGAAGAGAATGAAGAGAAATTGGAGTGCCATTTAGGTCCCCAATGAAGTTTATGTGGGAAGGATCTGGGGTTGGTTTTGCAAGGCTCCCTGGTGAATTCTTGGGAGATATGAGCAAAAGCAATAGGTCTTGTAGTATAGAGACTGGCCACTTTTAGGGCTGGCAATGCATGTATATCCCCTCCACTTAAGAATTATTAGGCCTAGCCAGGTCCATTCTCTTCCCTCTCCAACAATGAGTTGAGAGCTGAGAGGGAGGGGAGCCAAGGCTGCAGAAAGTGAAGCTGGAAGGTAAAATAGGCTGCTGGGATTTAGAATGGATGGGCAGGTGAGGTGCACCATTTTCATTTGCATGAAGGGCCAGGGGTGGGCTGACATTCAGGTTGGGATACGAGCTTTAGGTTTCCACCGGTGCCTTGAAAAATGCAGGCAGAATACTTAAGGCAGTACAGGTAGTCCTGAAGTTACAATCACAATTGAGCCCAAAATTTATGTTTCTAATTGAAATATTTGTGAGTTTGCCCCATTTTATGACTTTTCTTGCCAGTTATTAAGTGAATCATTGCATTTATTAAGTTATAACCTAGTTGTTAAGTGAATCTGGATTCGCCATTGACTTTGCTTGTCAGAAGTTTGCAAAAGCTGATCACGTTACCCCAGGACACTGCAATTGTTACAAATATGAACCAGTTGCCAACATCTGAATTTTGATCATGTAACCATGGGGATGCTGCAACAGTCTTAAGTGTGAAAAATGGTCATGTCACTTTTTTCAGTGCCATTGTAACTTTGAATGGTCACTAAATGCACTATTATAAGTTGAGGACTATCTGTATTCTGCTGGGCTGCATTCTCTTCCTTTCCATCAGTCTAATAATAACCCACATCATCTCCAATACTGACGGTTGGGCAGAATTTTTAGCTCTGAAACCAACAGCTGCAGTAGTAAAGTTCTCTTAAATTTTGCTGCTCCCTAACCTCCTTTAACCTCTCTAACCCCCTTCTCTCTGCACCCTTCTAACCCCCTCCCCAACTCGTCTGCAGGAAAGAAACCCGATTCCCTCTGAGCGCTGGTCAGCGGGAACACCCCCCACTCCGCCTCTGCGCGCGTGCCAGAGGTGCGCTCCGAAGCAATTGCTCTATCACGGTTCCTCCCCGTTTTCTCGGGAATCGACTAAGCCATTCCGAAAGGGCAGGAAAGAGATGTCCCGGAATCCGAGCCGACACCAAGCTTGCTCTTCTCCTTCCTGGTACTTGAGAGACCCCGGCTCTTGCAGAGGAAGGCGGCGAGCTGTGGGTCAAGAGGAAGAGGGCGCGACACCTGTCACCGGAGACTCCAGCTGTGTGGCCGAAGCTGGCGCTCTTGGCTTTTTTCTCAGGGAAAAGAGAATGCCGTCGGGCGCCGCTTCCTTGGGAGCGAGTCCTGGATGGGTCACTTCCAAGGAAGCGGGCGCGCACAGGTTGCGCTGCTGCAGCCGAGCCACGTGGATTGCTGAGCAAGATGGCTCTCCTTCCCCGCGAGCTCGCGCTTAGCTACTCACGTTTCTCCCTCGTTGGCTACGCGCTGCGACGAGGGGCGCCAGGCTGGTCATGTTCGACGGCTGCTCCGGCCTCGGCGTGCGCGCGTGGGAGCCCGCGACTGCAACCTCCTCTACCAGTGCCCCCAGCCTGCGGGCGGGGCGACGAAAAGGTGGAGCCCGGAGCCAGTTGCCGCGAGCTACAAGAAAGAGTGCGCCTCGGAGTCCAGGCAGAGGCCCAGGCCTCCGTTCCCAGGTTGCTGGGGAGCCGAGCGTGGCAGGCTTGGGATTGTCGCCTCCTTGTCCTTCGTGGGAGCGGCTTGGCCAGGTGAGGGCCTTCTCCAGAGGACTGGGATTCTCCCAACTTGAAAGAGAGTTCTAATGTCAGGATGAGTTTGCACTTGACTTCTACGTCCCTGTTCATTTATCTAAAATTTGCCACTTTAAGGAGAGACTATAAGAGCATTCCAACTGTCACTTGTTCTTCGAATCCCAAAAATTTGGAATGTAAGATCAAAATCATACTTATGCTATCTAGTGATGGGTGATGTATCTTTACAAGGGAAAGTGTTTCTCTCAAAGTCCACCTCCAACTTAAATTTAGCAAATGGCCTCTCATGTGGGGGGATGGGAGGGGGGTAGGAGCTATGCTGTATAAAAGATCTTATATCTTTTTGGGTGCCCTGCCATTCTGCTGGAGGGAGGAGGAGGATGCTCCGAGGGAGCACTTTGCCTGCTTTCGCTTTTGCTGTAACCACATGGGAATTAAGGAGTGGAATCGTCTTTAGAGACGGAATGGACTCCCTCCCAACTGATTCCAGCCTGACTCCAAAGTTGTTGTGCCCTAAGGATGATCCATTATCTATCCTGTACCTCAATATTCTCAAAACAGCCTTGTGACATTGTATTGGCTGCTGGTGGACTGGTCACAGGGTTGGTTTCAAAGTGGGAAGAATAGCTTGGTGCTTTGTGTGGGAATGTGAGATTCTGTTTGACCTTACTGTAACAAACTGTTTCTCAGTCAAAGTCCTTTTGATTAATCATATGGCATCAAGAGTCGTATTTTCTTGAGAGGGCCAGTTGGGACAGGTCCTTACACATGGTCAGTAGAAGAAAGCAACAGTCTGAAGAAGGTACAGATGAGCTCAGTAGTCTTAAAGTGCTAAGGGACATTATCTCAGCCTTAGACTAGAATAGAGCTGGAAGGGACCTTGAAGATCTTCTAGTCCAGCCCTCTACTCAAGCAGGAGAACCTATACCATCTCAGACAGGTGATTGTCTAGTCTCTTCTTAAAAATCTCTAGAGATGGATTGCCCACAATTTCTGGAGGCAGACTATTCCACTGGTTGATTGTCCTCACTGTCAGGAAGTTTCTCCTTAATTCCAGGTTGCTTCTCTCTTTGATCAGTTTCCAACCATTGTTTCTCATTCTTCCCTCTGGTGCTCTAATGAACAATGTGACCCCCTCTTCCTTGTGTCAGCCCCTCAGATACTGGAATACTGCTATCATGTTGCCCTTGTTTCTTCTTTTCTTTAAAGTAGCCAAACCCAAGTCTCGCAACCGTTGTTCGTATGTTTTACTCTGCAGGTCTTTGATCATCTTAGTTGCTCTTCTCTGAATTTTTTCCAAACTCTCAACATCTTTTTTGTGATATGGTGACCAAAATTGGCTGAAGTATTCCAGGTGTGTTCTTACTAGGGTTTTATAAAGCGATACTAATACTCTGCGTGATCTTGATTCTATGCCTCTGTTTATACAACCCAGGATTGTATTCGCTTTTTTGGTTGCTGCTGCACACTGCTGGCTCATAGTCAAGTGATCGTCCACTAGGACAGGGCTTTTCAACATTTTCACCAATTGTACTACTTTTAGGGTATGGCAATATTCGAGTACCACCTAGCAAGGTGTCAAAAACTTGACCAAAAAAACCCATCCCATTCAAAGTTGCAATCGCACTGAGATAACTTATGATCATTCTTCACACTTATGACCATTGCAGCAAGCCCAGAGTTATATGATTTATATTTGGATGCTTGGCAACTGATTCATATTTATGATGGTCAGTTTCCCAGGGTCATGTGATCCCCTTTTGCAACCTTTTGACAAGCAAAATCAATGGCAGGGCTGCTGGTGGCCAAGTGCTAAGGTGAGACTTCCCTCCCTCCCTCTTTCTCATGCCCACCTCCTTCTGAAGGAAGAATTTGACCCCCCCCCATATTTTCTCTCTTCCATATATTCATCAAACAAGAAAAAGCCTCCAGAGACAGAAAAGGCAAACTGCTGAGTGAACTAGCTTTAAAAGGCACATCCCCCTTTAAGAATTAGCTACTGGCTAGAAAGGAAAGTTAAAGAGCCAGCAGCCAGCACTTAAGGAAGAAAAAAAAATGTAATAAGTATTGGCTGCCGGCTGAGGCAGCCTCCTCAAATGGCTCCATTCATAAGTAAAGGAATACTACCGGCAAAATCCATTCAGGAGAAAAAATACTTCAAAATCTCTTGCAGCAAAACTTAACAGCTAACAATAGCAGAGCAATAGAAGCTAACACCAGCCATCAGCCAAATAGAAATTGCCAAACACTCTTAAGAACACAAAGCCCACATTGCACAAATCCCAGAACTTCAAAGTCACAAAAGCATATAAGAATCCTTCCACTCTCCATCTCCCTCCCTCCTGCCTCACCTCCAGCCATTGCTGCCTTTTTTCATTCCTCTTGGAGGACAATTGCTCCCCCACTGCATTTCTTGCCCGTTTGCTGCTGCCAGCACAGGTGGCTGCCACAGCAGTTGTAGATCGGCTCATGGCCGGCCGGCCTGCTTGATCTCCTCTCCTCTCCCCCCACCCCCCCTCCTCCTCCTTTTTCTTCTTCTTTCCCTTCAGTGCAGCTGGAGCTGACTCCACCTCCTCCCAAGGCTGCTGCTTTTTTCTCTCTCCCTCTCCTGCCCAAACTGCCTCCTTTTATAGCCTCTCCTGTCTTGGGGGGGCTCCTCCTCCTCCTCCTCCTTTCTCATGGGGGAGGGTGAGCCAGAAGTGAGCTACTCTGCAGCTCCAGAGGACTCTCTCACAGTAAGTCCTTGCCTGCGCTGGCTCTTCCCTCCCCCACTATACTTGGCTAGGCAGGACTGCATACCACCTGTCACTCATTAATGTACAAGTGGTACGCATACCACCGGTTGAAAAGCCCTGCACTAGGAGTCCAAGGTCCCTCTCACAGTTACTGTTTTTAAGCCAAGTCTCACCCAATCTATACTTGTACCTTTGATTTTTCCTGCCTAAATGTAAAACTTTGCTTTTCTCCACATTGAAACTCATAGGGCCCATTGTTCAAGTTTGTCAAGATCTTTTTGGATCCTGAGTTTGTCTTCTGGGGTGCTGGCTACTCCTGTCAGTTTGGTGTCATCTGCAAATTTGATGAGTTCCCCTTCAATTCCCTCATCTGTTCATTTAAGAAGATATTGAAGACTACTAGGCCTCAGACGGAACTTTGTGGTACCCCGCTACTTACTTCTCTCCATGTGGATGTAGTGCCATTGAGGACTACTCATTCAGTATGGTTTGTCAACCAGCTACAGATCCATCTGGTAGTGATGTTGTCTGTTCCATCTTTTTCTAGCTTACTAAGCAGCAGGTTGTGGTCTACTTTATCAAATGCCTTACTGAAATCTAAGTATATTAGTCCACAGCATTTCACTGGTGTACTAGTTTAGTCACTTTATCAAAGAATGAAATCCGATTAGTTTGGCATGATCTGTTTTTAACAAACCCATGCTGGCTACTTGTTATGACTTTGCTTCTAGTTGTTCGCAGATCTGTTTTTTGATTATCTTTTTTAGGATCTTCCCAGGTATTGATGTTAAACCTTTTTAAGATGGCGGCACCTTGCTTGGCTGCGGCTGCTTCAGCTCTCAGAAATGTGAGGATTAGGGAGGGAAATGAACAATCTGGATGGAAACACTCTTCAGAAATAGGGACAACTAAGCAGAGTTGGGCTGCTAAACTTTCTTATGAATTTCAGTCCATATTGGAGATGAAGAATTTCAGCATGAAAGGAATGGTGGAGAAAACTGTCCGCGAGATTCTGCATGGGCTCGGATTACTACGGAAGAGTAAATCAATGACGAAGTTGCCAGTGGCTGACATGGAGGGTGAGAGATCAGCTGGAGGAGCGGGGAGGAAGAAAGGAAATTGCTGGAAGTGGAAACAGCATCGTAATCAGTGTTTTGAGCAGCGAGGACAGCGTTTCGTGCTGTAGGGGCTGAGTGGAGGAGCAGCCATTGCAGCTGGGAAGTTTCCCTCCGTTCCTGACCATCTTCAGAAGAAAAGGAGGAGGTAAGAGGAAACGTGGCAAACGCAGAGGCCTAACATCTAGGCTAAAACCTAGACCTTACAGAGTGTCTCTTCCATCTATTTTGTTTGCAAATGCTCGCTCCTTAGAACCAAAAATGGATTACTTGAGGCTGGATTTAACAACAAACCGGGAGGTGAGAAATTGCTGTGTCATTATTGCAACAGAGACTTGGTTAAAGCCCTCTGTCCCAGATAGTGCTGTTAGCTTGATGGGTTTTTCAACATTTCGGTTGGACAGGAGTCTTGCCCTTAGTGGCAAATCCCGGAGAGGGGGTGTCTGTTTTTATATAAATGACAGATGGTGTAATAATGCCAAGGTGGTTTCAAATCTGTGCCCCCCAGATGTGGAGCTTCTGACCATCAAATGCAGATCCTTCTATCTGCCTAGAGAATTCTCTGTTATCATTATCACAGCTGTGTATATCCCCCCTGATGCAAACAGAGAAGAGGCCCTGAAGGTTCTCTGTCATACCATCAGTGACTTACAAACTACTCACCCAGAGGGTGCATTTATTGCAGTCGGAGACCTTAACCAAGTGGATTTGAAAGCTACTCTGCCACATTTCCATCAATATGTGGACTTTGCAACAGAGGGGAAAATACACTGGATCTTGCTTATTCCAACATCAAGAAGGCTTTCAAAGCTATCTCCCGCCCCCACCTGGGCTCCTCTGACCATCTCTCAGTGCTGCTTATTCCAGCATATAAACCTTTGCTAGTCAGAGTGAAACCTACAGTAAAGCAGGTGAGGGTATGGACAGAGGGAGCTATAGAAGCATTACAAGACTGCTTTGAATGCACAGATTGGGGCATGTTTAAGGAAGCAGCTACTGATAACCAACTTACAAATGTTGAGGAGTATGCCACCATGGTGTCTGCATATATCCAAAAGTGCATAGAAGATGTCTGTTGTTGTGACTACTACTCTGTCTGGTTCCCTGAAGGGGGACCCCCTGAAGAGAGCTGGAGATAGCCACCACCTGAGGGAGTGTCGTACTCCCAGAGGTATGCCTACCCTCTTCCGGGA